CCCCACAGTTTTCACGCACTTTCAACTCGGGAACCACAAAAGCTAGGCGGCTGAAATTTTAGTACAATGTTCCCCGCCAGTGGGTGAGGTGGCAAATTTAAATTTAGCCTTCCCGTATCCGCGGGTAACACGTACGGTCCCGTAAAAGTTTTTTCGGGTAAAATTATTATCACGGGAACCATCTAAGCTAGAAGTCTGAAATTTTGTGGGCATGTCCCCCGCTCATTTGCTACCCAGAAAGTTTAGATTCAGGTTTCCCCTGCCCACGGGTAGCATGTACGGCCCAGTGAAAATTTTTGACGGCTGAATTATTATCTCGGGAACCACGGAGTCTAGGAAACTAAAATTTTAGGGTAATGACCCAATACCCACGCTCATCCTTGCCTATTCAAATTCTGCATTCCTGCCCTCTTGGGTATCACCTACGGGCTAGTGAATGTTTTTACGGGTAAATTTTTACCTTGGGGATCATGGAGTCCAGGAAGCTGAAATTTTAGGGTAATGACCCACTGCCCACGCTCTACCTTTCCCATTCATCTTTAGTGTTCCAGCGCTCTCGGTTATCACCTGCGGGCTAGTGAAAGTCTCTACGCGTAAATTATCTCGGGAACCATAAAATCTACAAAACTGAAATTTTAGGGTAATGACCTCCTGCCCACGCTCAGCCTTGCCTTTTCAATTTCAGCGTTCCCGCGCTGTCGAGCATCACCAACGGCCTCGTGAAAATTTGGGCGGGTAAACTATTAACTCAGGAATCATGGAAAGATATTCACCCTTCAAGATTTCAAATTCAGATTTCATGCGCAGGTGTGTAAAATTTTTAACTATTTTTCAGCGTTCCAACTATTTTTCACAGACTAAAGTACAAAGCAGTGAAAATCATTAATAGGCAATCGTTCGATGGGCTGAGCTGCACAAGACGCATGATCGCACCGGTTAGTCTGGTGCGCGTAGCTATTTATTGTGCTGTGTAACAGCTGTACAAAATGCATCCTGTCACGTCCCTGTTATGTGTGTACGCGTGTGTATAAATGTATATCTGTGTCCGAGTGTGTTTTGTCCACAATTTTCAATTGGTAAGCACGAAAGCTAGGAAGCTGAAATTTTAGAGTATGTTCCTCGTTCATGCGTGACCCCGCAAATCGAAGTTCAGCCTTCAAGTATGTCCAGCTTTTAGGTACGACTTCATGAAAGTCTTGGCGGGGAAAATTGTTGCCTGGGGGACTAAAAAGGCTGGAAAACTGAACTTTTAAGGGGATGTCCCTCGCCCATGTTCGACTCTGTGGATTCAAATTGAGCTTTACGTACGCCTAGGTCTCACGTTGGGGCTGGTGAAAGTTTTTGCGAGAAAGATTATCTCGGGAACTACACAACCTAGGAAGCTGAAATCTAAATAGAATGTTTCCTGCCCACGTGCAACCCTGCTGTTTCAGATTCAGCTTCCAGACACGCCTATATCGCACGAACGGACACGTGAAAGTTTTGGTGCGAAAGTCACTAACTCGGGAGTCAGGAAGTCAGGGAGCTGAAATTTTGGAAGGATATTTCCCGTTCATGTGCGATCCAAACTTTTTAGATTCAGCTTTTACGTCCGCTTACGTTTCACGTACCGGTACTTAAAGCTTCTAGTGGGGGACTTCGTAGCTTAGAAACCAAACAAAATATCAACTATTTTGCATACACCTGTTTGCAAAACAGTGGAAATTTTTAACAGCAAATGTCCACTGAATAGAACTGCGCAAAACGCTTGATCGTATCGGTTACTCTGGTGCGCACGCTGCTTATTTCATTGTCTTTCTAGCTCTGTGCGAGCTTTTCGTTTATCGGCTAGTTGATCTTGTTTTACGTAGGCACCAGCCACTGATGACGTTCACCGACTATCAGCAAAGCGAGTTTTGCATTACTCCTACGCTTTTGCTTTTTAGCCTGGTCACTTTCACATCGTTCATTTCATTTCTTCAGCGAGAAGCCTTGGCTACTTTTGTAGTCACTCCATATATCTTGTGCTCCGTTTTTCTTTTGTCGCAGCGCTGTTCTGCATTTGTTACTGACCATATTTTGTGCTTTACCGCTTCCAGCACAGTGATACTGTGAGGATGATCATGATCATAAACTGAGCATTTTTCGGAATTTCATGCTGTTTTTGGTGCCTCTTTTTAACCACTTTCAAAGAGCAGCATTGCCGAACCCGCCATTCATCAGCGTTCTGTTCTGTAATTCGCATAAAACACCAGAGTGATGTGCATGAATCTCTCTAGAGTTAGCGGAATCGGAATTTTGCTGCTTGGTTTCAAAATACGATAGAAAAATAGGAGTTGAGTTTTTTCAGAACTCCTCGCAGACATTTTGTAGCCGACCCGAGTAAAAAAGAGCACTGTACCCCGAGGGCATTTCAAAATGTGATTGAGGCAGTCCCATTCCGAATGTTGTTCCATATTTTGAAATCTGGATATTCACTTGCAATGGTAATAATATGCGTGTGTGTGTGTGTGTGTGTGTGTGTTTTGAGAAACGCATGGTAATTATTGCGGAGCTTGAACTAGGTTTACAAGGGACACAATTGCGAACTGATAGCTTTGCGAGTCACAGTACTTCCGAATAAATAGTTGGGGCTGATAGACCAATTTCAGGACTAGAACCGCCCAAACGATCAGTATGAGGATCTCATTCCACCCTCCATGCGCCGGACGCAGCTATGCCAGGCTCATCGATCTTAAGCTTTAACATCCAATTGATATCCATTGCCTGTTCTGTGTATTTCCGTCACCATTTTGAACACCGCCTGAATAGTCGTTTCATGCTGGTGCCGCTCGCTGATACGCATCATTTTTACGCGATGTCTATCAGTTGTCAGCAGGATAAGCATGTATTGTCCAGTGGATTTACTTTCCGCATGTTCACGGTTACATCCTGTGAATGGTCTATCGCAGAGTCTGACTGCTTATATGGTCACGAAGGGAGTGCACCAAACTCCTGCACTGTTCTGTTTGTTACACTTACTAACTGCCTTCATCACTGGGCGCATTTCGTCACTGCCTTCAGCATAGCAGCATTTAAGAATCGGACGCTGTTCTTCCAATATAGTAGTTTGTTGATATCAGATATGCTGTGAAATAGCCAGCCCTTTTGCGCACTCTCTCCGATTAAAGATATTTACTTTGGAATGAGAAACGACGTAATTGCAGCTTATCCAAATCAGCTTTCTCTGTCTGCAGTCTGTATACGGACTGAACTGTGCTTCTCACATCACCTCCGTTTTTCGAAGCGCTGAGTTCAGGATCTATTTTTTTACGTTTTTTGCATCTATGCAATGTAAAAACGCATATTGTCAAAGAATTGTCAGTGTGTGTGTGTGTGTGTCTGCGTGTGTCTGCGTGTGCGTCTGTAGCGATTTTTCATCTCGAGACCTGCAAAAGCTACAGGCCTAAATCTTTGGAAACTTAATCTACGTGCACGTACGGTTCCTCTTCTCCAAAATCGGCACCTTTACCCACGTGGTTCCCTCGTATGGGCCCGTGGAAATTTTTGGTAGGTAAGTTGCTAACTCGGAAACCAGAAAAGCTAGAAAGCTGAATTTTGGGGGAGGGGGAGGGGAGTGTTGCCTGACAGTCCTGGCGGCCAGTCTCAATTCTTTTAGCTCGAAGTATCTGCCGGAAAAAACAGTGCCGTTAGCGACAAAAACCTGCGGAGAACTATGCAAAAACGCATCTTCGCACCGTCAGTGGTTGCGTTGGCCATTTATTTCGTTTTTCAAGCTCCTTTAACATCTCATTCATCTAGCGAGCGCTACCCACAGCGAGTAATGAGATGGTGGTAATGTTACTCCTTTTTTTTTTCCCGACAGCGTTTGATAATTTTTACAGGACGCTGGTAAAGTTTACACGGGGAGTAGCAACGAATGATAATTCACGAGTCACAACGCTTCCATCTGAATGGCCGGGGGTTTGCAATCTACTAGCCATTTTAAATCGGGAGAAAGAGGGACAAGTGCCACAGCTTCGGCTTTTGGTGCTGGAAGTCTACACTGCTGTGAGTTTCAGCATCGATTTTTTTGTTGTTGTTTGTTGAAATTAAATATTGTAAAGTCAGTTTCTAGTTATGCGCGGATGTCAGGTACGGGTCCCTGGAAATTTTTGGTTAAAAAAATTGCTAATTCGGGAACCAAAAAAACTGGGAAGCTGAAATTTTGATGGTATGTCTCCTCTTCACGTAGAATTTAAATATTTCAAACTTAGCTTCCAGGTGTGCGCAGCTCTCATTTATGGGTCAGTGAATTTTTTGGCGGGAAAATTGCTAACTGAGGAACCAGAGAAGCTGGAAAGCTGAAATTTTAACCGGTTGTTCCTTGTGCGAATACCACGTAGTTGCACAATTAAATCCCTGAACTTCTAGAATCAACGTGTCATAAATTCTAGGTACTGGGATTCCAAGTGATCTTACCACAGCACTAAATACTGCAAAAACTCATGATCACATGTGCCTGCTTGATGCGCGCCACTATTTTAAGCAAAAAAAAAAAAACAGATCTTCAAGAAAGAGTGAGCTAGCGTTTTCAATTTATCATTCTTTTACTACTTCATTTAGCTTGTTCAGCAAATTATTTGTTGACCTCTACTTGCGTATTCCACTATGCCAGGCGCTGCAATAGTAATGCATGCGATGATAATACAGTTTGGACTTGAAGTAATATGATACGGCGGTTAGAGCCAAGCACGATGCACTACTTTGAACAGGTCGAAACTGCTTTTCAGGTTTATGCGTCTCTTTTTGCGTACGCATTGACAGCATACGACGCACGGTGGTTGTTTCGTTTGGCAGCTCGTCCTGTTGACTCCAGTGAATTTGCTCTTCTCTTTGGCGGAGGTGGTGAAAAGAAACAAAAAGCGGCACTGGAAAGACCACCAGGTATATTATCGTTTGGTTTAGATGTGAATCTTTTTCCGCACTGAACGATAGCAGTTTTTTGGATTGTAGTTCTACCAGTTAATCGCACAGCTGTTGCGACCAAGGAAGCAAATCCCGATGCTGCAACTCAGATAATGCCTGATAAGAGCAGTTTATCGATAGATGCGGCATCAGTTCGAGCAGAGTTCAACGCTAAGGTTCTTTTTCTGGTTTTTATGCGTTTTGTGCTGTGTAACAGCAGTACAAAACGCATATTGTTGCGAGGTTGTCTGTGTATGTGCTTGTGTGTGTGTGTGTGTCCGCAGCAACTTGTCCGCAACTTTCAACTCGGGAACCACGAAAGTTAGGCGGCTGAAATTTTGGTAAAGTGTTCCGCCAACGGGTGACGCGGCAGATTTAAATTCAGCCTTCCCTTACCCGCGGGTAACGCGTACGGCCCCGGGAAAGTTTTTTACGGGTAAATTAATATCTCAGGAACCACGGAGTCTAGGAGGCTGAAATTTTAGGGTAATGACCCTCTGTCCATGCTCAGCCTTGCCCATTCGAATTCAGCCTTCCCTTACCCGCGGGTAATACGTACGGCCCCGTGAAAGTTTTTCATAGCTAAGTCACGGGTAAGTTAATATCTCGGGAACCTCGAAGTCTAGGAGGCTGAATTTTTACAGCAATGACCCCCTGTTCAACCTCAACCTTGCCCATTCAAAATCAGCCTTCCCCTATCCGCAGGTAACACGTACGGCCCCGTGAAAGTTATTCACGGGTAAGTTA